AGTGATGCTTAGCGCACAGGAAGTGTTCAGACGCACTTCGTCATTGCTCTTGTTATCCTCATCACAATTTTAGGATCCTGATCTTTCTTTAAAGCCACTGTGGACTTAGTCATCTCCGAAGACACCACTCATGCGCTAGCTTATCTGCATACTGAATATCACTCGGTGTGTGGAACAGAACATCTAACACTCCTGTGTACAGTCTGTGTTGCGTTCTTACTTGTATATTTCATGTATTGTCCACAAAAATCAGCGATCCACACTTATTTGGAGGATGTCGTAATCTCTTACGGAAGCAAAGAAATTAACATTTCAGGCACGTAACTTGCTCAGCATATCTTTACATGGGTCTGTCAGAACACACTCTTCAACCCAGTGAGCCTCTCCTCATTTTGTGTGACGATAAGAGCTCTCCTCATGGCCCCTTGGTGAGATGTATTTTTCATTTCAGGAAGGGTTGACCTTCAAGGATGTGGCCATCAAGTTCTCCCAGGAGGAGTGGGAGTGCCTGGACCCTGCTCAGAGGGCCTTGTACAGGGACGTGATGTTGGAGACCTGCAGGAACCTGCTCTCCCTGGGTGAGAGAACTCCCCTTTAGAAGTTGGAATCTGCCCTTGGGTGTCTTTGCATTTTCCCTGTGTGCCTCTTGGGAGCCCCCGTTTTGCTTGACTGCGCTCAAAGCTCCGTTGACTCAGACATGAAAAGCTTCTTGGTTCAACATCAGGAGTTTAAACTTGCTTTTCTTCAGGGCGTCTGCCCACTTCATGATATACTAAGAGTTGTTCCAGAGCTAAAGTATTACAAATGGCAAACTTTAAAAATATTGAATTCCCTGCTTTCTACCCCTGTGCTTTTGATTCAGTTGTTTTTAGAAGAAAGCTAGATATCTATATATTATACTGTCCCCTATGCATTCAGAAGGAAGGAGGCAGTAGGTGAATTTGTGAAATGTCTTTCAGACCAATCTGTGATGTCCTCACTTCTCAGCTGAACAAGGAGCTGGGATTCTGGAAATGCCACAGTACACCATGTTCTTTTTTATTTTCGTTTTTATAATTACTAATTTCTGTTTCTCTTGTGACTATTAACTCGTTTTGGAGCCAGGGAAAGAGCTCTGGACTCTGGAGAATGCAATGAAAATACCAAAAAAAACCCCAGCCAAATGGGTAAGAATGTATCAAAGGTGCGAACACAGGTCAGACTCAGAAAGAGAGGAAACCGTATCATGAATAGTGTTTGGGAACTTTCCTCAAGTGGAAGAGTTCTGTGGGAAAACAGAAGTTTATTTCTTGTGAACTCCTAGAGAAAATTTTTCTTCTCCCCTATTTATCACTCTGTCCTCAACATGTAAAATTTATCTTTTCACCCTCCAGTGGTGCTGCAGCTCCAACACAGACAAAGACAAAGTCTTTACCATGGTCGTCATAACATCATCCGGCCCCTGGGAACTCTTTGGTTCCTTGACTTTGAGGAGCACGGGATGGGCTGTTTCAAAGGGTCTCTTTTCCCTTTGGTCTCTCTTTCTGTTCTTGATTCCATTAGACATGCTCGGTTCTTAGTCCATATTGATCAGAGTTGGCACCTCCGCAGTCTTAAGCCCTGGACTGATCCCGGTTCCATCCCCATTTGCTGAACTTGGAAGACTTAATCAGGAGATGGGAAAACACATTCCTCGGGTCTGAAATGTTATCCTTTTTTTTTTTTTTTTTTGCTGTGATAATCCACCTTTAGGTAATGAATGATTTCTGGTGGACTTCTATGGAACAGGTTTACTTGGTAACAAAATTTCTGATGGAGAATACTTTCATTCATGTGTTGGCAGTGTTGTCCTACTATATTCGGAAGCACCACTTGAAGCCACTTAGAGTGGTCAGCGTGTCCCAGGATACTGGGATAGAAGGCGTCAGGAGAGCCTGACTAATAGGTGTTTTCAGTAATCTTCACAGTTTGGAGGAGTGTCACAAAAGCATCTCTCAAGGGCACCATGGCAGTGCTGTCCACATATGTTAATGATCATCCCCTTTGTGCCACGATAAATAATACGGGAATTTCTGGTAGGGACAGCATTTTTCAAGTTCACTTCCTCCTATCTCTGAGGCTGTTGGCTAGTTAAACTGTTGTCTGTACCACATTTGTTAACCCCTGTGTGTGCCATTGTTCACTCTACCTCAACAAATATTATCTTGAAGCCTCTTAGTGAGGGAATTCAGGAAGTTGCTTGCTGCCGAATGAAGTACCGAAATTTGTTGTGTGTAAGCCCCCGCCGCTTTCATCCTGTACATTTCTATGTGTTATGAATGAACTTGACTTTTATTTATTTCATCATCAGGTCCGTATATTTCATGGTACTCTCAGTCTTTGTTTCATATTTGCAGTGTGTGGGAGGAGGAATGGGGGAGTTGGTGTTGTATTCTTTATTTTACGGTATTGCCTTTTGAGTTGAGGGTGTGGGTTAGCCGTAGTTTCCCTAAATCCTACACTTGGTCCATAAAATTTTGAAAGCATATTAATTCCTTCTACTTCTTTTTCCCTAGCTTAGTATCAAATATTAAGTTACACTTTCCAAATTAAAGTTATTACCATTTTTATATTGGGAATTTTTAATATCTTGAGAATATATATATTTTTATTGTCATTCTTAATCCCAGAAATACCATTAAGTTGACTTGCCATAATCTGTTATATAAAATTCATTGTTTTTTCTATTGTATGTTTTCAATTTTCTATACACAATTTCTTGAGTTTTGTGTAAATTTCTCTGAGTATTTTGGGGCATGACTGCTATATTCTAATAATTATGCTCCCTGTCTAGATCTATCCTGTCCATGTAGATATGCTGAATTGATACTTGTATATATCATTGTATCTTACAGGAAGCTTAACTCATTTCTGGTACTTACTGAACTTCTCCACTGTTGTTTCTAACACCTCTTATTTCCTGCAAAATCTAAAGTTCTGGAAATTGCACCCTGAGTGAACACAGGAGGACTGTCTTGTCCCCCATCTTTGTTTCTGTGAACTGCATGTACAGTGCACCTGGTCCCTGCTGTCCCACCTGCTGGGGCTGACTGTTGTGCTCGGGCTTGTCTGCCGTGGACGTTGTTCTCTGCGTCTCTGCACGTGGATCCCCTCCATTGGCCTCACGCCACGGCCAGAAAATGTGTCTGCCCGAAACTGCTGCTGCTTACAGTGCCAATTAATACAGGTCCTTCCCCGCTTATTTTCTCCATAAGATTACTTTCGTTCTCACGATATTTATGAAGTCTTATTTATGCATTTTGGATGAAAGTTTGCATTATCATTGATTCATAACTGTGTATCTGCTAATACACAGCATTAACAGTAGGAGCACCCCTGACCTCTTGACTCTTTTTTTATTGTGTCCAATAACTTTCATAACGTTTTACATCATTTGAGCTTAGAAGAGTTAAAAAATATACCACCTTTGACTGGTTGTTTGAATATAGATTCAATTGATGACAGTGAGTATTTAAACTCACTTGATTTCTCCCTCTTTAACTCCTCTCAGCAGCCCCTAGCAAACACTTTGTTTCCATGAAATTGACTATTTTTCATACCTCACATAAATTGATTCATACAGTATTTTTTTGACTGGCGTATTTAATTTAACGTAACATCCTCGAGTTTCATCCATATTGTAGCAAATGATAGGATGTGAGTCTTTTTTTTTTTTTGGCTGAATATACAACCTGCTTTTTTTGTGCATTCATCCATCAGTGGACTTTTGAGTTGCTTCCACCTCTTAGCTACTGGAAATAATGTTTCTGTGAATATGGGTATGCAGATCTCTTCCAGATCCTGCTTTCAGTTTCTTTGTTACGAATACCAGGAAATGAAGTTGCTAGATCATAGTTCTCTTAGTCAGTTTCTGCCATATTCCTGTAACAAAGTTCCATAGACTGGGTGGCTTGGTAACAACAGAAGTGTATTTCTCAGAGTTCTGGAGCCTGGAAGTCAGATCTGGGTGCCAGCGTGGTTTGTTTCTGAGGAGCACCCTCTTCCCCATTTCTGCACAGAGCTCCCAAAACCCTTGGAATTTCCTGAGCGATAAGAGCAGTGGGAGCATCTTTTGTTAGAATATTTGGTGTTTTGTCCTCAGTCTCTGAAATTACTTCAGAGCCATGAAGCTAAAATGGGTGTCTTGTTCTTCCTAACAAACCCCTTTCAGTCACAACTGAGTTTATGATAATAAAGTGACTTTTGGAAATTCCCTAAAGATAGGGGGCTGGTTGCTAGGGGGAGCCAGCTGTGTGATTAGAAGGTTGGAGCTTTCGGTCTAACCCCTGATTTCTTGGAGGGAAGAGGTATTGGAGATCGTGCTTACTCACCAGTGGTCACTGATTTAATCAGCCACACCTGTGTGATAAAGCCTCCATGAAAATCCAAAAGGAGAGGATTCTGAGAGCTTTCAGGTTGGAGAACACAGATTTCAGGAGATTGGTGAACTGGGGGAAGGCATGGAAACTCCAAACCCTTTCCCCATACCTTGCCGCATGCGTCTCCTCCATCTGGCTGTTCCTGAGTTATATCCTTTATGATAAACTGGCGATCTAGTAAATAAAATGTTTCTCTGAGTTCTATGAGACATTCTTGACAAATAGCTGGAACCTCTGGTCGGTAGGCTATTGGTCAGAAGCCCAGGTGACATCCTGGACTTGGGATTGAGATTTTATATGCACCTTAGGATGATTTATCTATTTCTATAAGAAACGCTTGGAATATTGCTAGGTATTCAGTTGAGTATGTTAATCGCTTTGGGTAGTGTTGGCATCCTGACAATATTGTCTTCCAGTCCATGAACTTGGGATATCTTTGCATTTATTTGTGTCTTTTCTAATACTTTTCAGCAATGTTTTTAGTTTACAGTATACAAATCTTCTTTGCTAAGGTTGTACCTAAGTGTTTATTCTTTGGTGCTATTGCAAGTAGAATTGTTTTCTCTATTTTCTTTCATCATTAATGTATAAAAACACAATTGATTTTTATATGTTGATATTATATCTTGCAACTTTTCTGAATTCATTCACTAGTTCTAGCAGGGTTTTGTGTGTGTGTGTGTGTGTAATCTTCAAGATTTTCTCCTTTTCAGATCATGTCAGCTGAAAACATAATTTTCTTTCCTTTTTCCATCTGGATACCTTTCATTTCTTTTTCTGCCTATTCTAGCTAGGACTTCTAATAATTTTTTTTTATAGTATGTTTATACAGATAGTGAGAACATGTATCATTGTCTCATTCCTGATTTTGGAGGAAAAAGCTTTCAATCTTTCAACCTTGAGTATGTTAGCTGTGAGCATTTAATATATGCCCTTTCTTGTGCCAAGGTAGTTGTTTTGTATTCCACTTTATTGAGTGTTTTTAACTTTTGTCAAATGGTTTTCCTGTGTCAATTGAGATGGTCGTGTAGCTTTTTTCTCTTTCATTCTATTAATGTGCAGAATTGAATTGAATTGATTTGAAGTCTTTATATGTTGAACCGTCTGCATTCCAGAAATAAATCCCCCTTGGTCGTGGTAGAGTTTGTTTTCTGTCACTTTATTTGTGATTTTTTAATCAGTATTCATCAGAAGTACTCGTCTGGTTTTCTTGTAGTGTCTTTTTCTGCTTTAGTATGCACAGTAATTCTAGCCTCATAGAATGAGTTTGGAGTTTCAGGGTTTTTTGGAAGTGTTTGAGGAAGATTGATGTTAATTGTTTTTAAGTGTTGGGTAGAAATCAGCAGTGAAGCTATCTGGCTTTCCTCCGTTGAATGGTTTTTGATTAGTCATTCAGTCTCCTTACTAGGTATAAGTCTCAGTTTTTGTATTCCTTCATTGTTCAGTCTTCAGAGGTTGTGTTGCCAAAAATTTATCCATTTCTCCTTGGTTATCCAGTATTTATTTACACATGGAATTTTCATAGTATGCTCTTACAGTCCTTTTGATTTCTGTACAATCAGTTGTAATCATTTGTAATGTTCCCCCTTTTATTTCTGATTTTAGGTGTTTAAGTCTTCCAATTTTTTCTTAATCTCACTCCATAAATTTTGTGTGTTTTCAAAGAACAAAACTTTTAGTTTTGTGATTGTCTGTAGTTTTTTTATTCTCAAGTCCCTTTACCTTTAATCTTATTCTTATTCCCTTCCTTCTGTAGCTTTGGCTGTATTTTGTTCTTCTGGGATCTTTTTTTCCCCAGTTTTTCTTTTTCCTCCTTTCTCTTCTCTGTCTTTTTTTTTTTAATTCTTCTTATTTACATGACAAACTGGGATCTCTTTTGTGCATTCCTTTATATTTTCTCTTTTTCCACCTTTATTGACATAGAATTAACATGGTGTGAATTTAGAGTACAGAGTGATGATTTGATATACATATATATTGCTAAATAATTACCACAGCTTGGTTAACACATCCATCAGTTCACATAATTACATTTGTGTGTGTGTGTGGTAAGAACATTTAACGTCTACTGTCTTATTAACAAATTCAAGTATATAATATAATATAATATAATGTTAACTATAGTCACCATGCTGTATGTTAGATTCCTTGAACTTACCTTATAACCAGAACTGCCAATCTTCAGCCCTTGCAACCACTATTCTACTCTTTTTCTAATTGTTTTGCCTTTGTTTATGTTTTAAGATTCCACATATATGTGATATAAGTGAGGTCATGCTGTATTTGTATTTCTCTGCTGACGTATTCCACTTAGCATAATGCCCTGAAGGTCTGTCCATGTTGGTACAGACAGCAGGATTTACTTATTTTTTATCACTAAATAATATTCCATTGTGTGGGTAACATTTTAAAATTTATTTATATGCTCTTGGGCACTTAGGTTATTTCCGTGTCTAGGCTGTTGTAAATAATGCTGCAACAACATGGGCCTTCAGTATCTCTTTGAGATAGTGATTTCTTTTCCTTTTATTACATACCCAGAAATGGGACTGCCATATATACTGTATGGTAGTTTTGGGTTTGTTTGTTTGTTGTGTAATATTTTGGGGAACATTCATACTCTTTTCTGTAGTGGCCTCACCGATTTACACTCCCACCAGCGCTGCACTGGGGTCCCTTTTCTCCACACCCTCCCCAGTGCCTGTTGTCTCTTGTCTTTTTGATGATTGTCATCCTGACAGGTGTGAGGTGATACGCTCATAGCGATTGTGATTTGCATGTCCTCCTATGGAAGGAGTGGGAATTGGGAAGCTTTCTCCTGCTCCGTCTCTCGGCAGTGTGCTGGGGAGCAAGTGAGTCAAAGGCACACAAATTAGGAACTTTCTGACACTTCAGTTGAGTATTTTGGGGTAGGGCATTTGGTGGAGAGCTGCAGCTTCATTACTGGTTTATAGAGTTTCCCCAAAGGGTTTTTTGTGTGTGTGTGTGGTCTTCTATTCTTGTTAATTTGGTGTCGCCATTTGGGACTCATTGCCTGGAGTTCACTGGTCTGCTCTCTTGCTGACATCACTCCTCATGTCTTTTATATGGCAAAAATTGTGTTGAGAGATACATTATATGAGTTCAAGTAATTAGAGACCCCAGAAAAAGGGGCACTGTTATATTTAATACCAAACAAAGAGTTTCTTATCCTAAAAAGTTTACTTAACAAAATTGTTAAATTTCTTTTTAAAAATATTTAAGTAGTGTTTTATTTAGTAAAATTATTTTATTTTTTAACTAACATGTTCACATCTTTAAATTCTCAGACCTTAGTAAATGCCTTCTGCTAACTTGGTTTCTCCAAACAAATTCTCTGGCCACCTAACCAGGAAATCATCATTTTGAAATCATGGTCACCTTATTTTGCTCCTATTGATAAGATTACGTGTATCTGCATGTGTGTGTATACAAGAAACTCATCCATGTCCTCTTGATGGCGCTTTCTTGGTTTTTCTTCCATGTCCTGCTAGGAACATTCTTGCAGGTATCCTGGAGTATCTCTGTATGTTGAATATATGCCTGGAAGTGGAACTCATGAGATGCTCAGTTTAGTAAATTTCTCAGCATGTGCTCTAATAGATGTAAACCTGCTTTCTCCCTGCAACATCACACTCTCTCCATTTTTAAGGCTCTTCTGTTTTTGCCTCATAGTCAGTATAATTGCAGTAGTTTAAAATGGGACAGTATTGTGCTACTTGACGGTTCTTCCTTTCTTCCGAGGACAGTATTTTGGTCACCCATAGAGTAGAATATCGGTATTAATTGACTGTGGCGTAGCTGCCGTCATGAAATCATACTTGTGCCTTCTGACTTCTTTCTCCAATTCTTCTTTATAACGTTATGTGTTTTCTTGACATGATATTGCAGAAGTCAGTGATTTCAACATATTTCCAGGCTCTCACTTTGTGTGCTCCTTCTAGAATATAAATCCTTCCTTTATTCTTGGGGGGGAATATTTAGAGTTCCACAGAGTATATTTTCTATAATATGGTTACTTACTTATGCTGGTTTTATCACGATTTACTAGAATATTTTATTTCTCAGTTTGTGCTGTGATTTACAGATGACCTTTCAGCGTGTATCTTGCGACGTATCAGACACACACCACTTACTGATGTTGTAAAATGCCTAGTCTCAAAGGGTACAGGTGGATTTGTAACATGTAACAAGATCAATTTTTTTATAAATTTATTTTCTCAGTGCTGTAATGGTTTTGCAATTCTAACCTGCCAGGTATTTGGATTACTCATGAGATAGCTTTATTTTGGATTATTTGCCATGACAATACATTGTCTGTTCTTTAGTATTTATGTACAATAGTTATGCAGAAAATGGGTAGAATCACTTTTTTCTCTTCAGTTATGAGATAGCAGTGTGTTTACTGCCGAACGGTTTGTGCTTTGAGGTCATAGTGGGAAATACCCTTTCTTTGAGAGCTAACATACGTTTTTACAACATGTGTGTTTTTGTCATAGGGTGTTTGACTAGGCTACCCTAAGATTAGAATTACATGTGATTATTCTTTCTTTAATAAAGAATCCTATTTCTTGAGTGTGCCTAAAAATTTGAAGATCACAGTTGGGAAGTTTTATGACTGCCCAGGATTAAGTGTTACCTTTGGTGTAATATCACATTTTCAACATGAAATATTTATTTATGATCTGTAATTAATAGGATACCTATGGTTCTTTATATTTTGTAGCTATCTCTCATATACATGTGATCAAGAAATTAAAACCAAAGGCAAACAGTGATATAGGAGAAGAATTCCAAACAGTGATGCTGGGAAGACATAAAAGCTGTGAAATCAGAGATTTTTACTTCAGAGAAATCCAGGAAAACATACATGTCTTTGAGTGTCAGTGGAGAGATGATGAAAGAAACGACAAAGGAATGCCCATAACCCATAACAAAAATCTCACTGACAGAAGAGATCAACATGGTAGAAGGGATACAGGAAACAAACCTATTGAAAGTAAGCTTGCATTAAGCTTTCATGATGAACTACAGATATTTCAAAGTGAAGAGAAAATTTTTGAATGTGATCAAGCTGTGAAATCGATCAACAGTAGTGCCTCAGCTTCACCACTTCAAAGAACTCCTCCTAGTGTGCACACCAGCATTTCTAATATATATGGGGATGACTTTATGCCGCCTTCAGTACCGACACAAGACCAGAAGGCATACAAGGAAAAACCTTACAAATGTAATGAATGTGGCAAAACCTTTCCTTATGGCTCAAACCTCAGTAGACATCAGTTAATCCATACGGGAGAGAAACCATATAATTGTGATGTATGTGGCAAGGTGTTTAGTCGAAATTCACACCTTGCCTGTCATCAGAGAATTCACACTGGAGAGAAACCTTACAACTGTAAAGAGTGTGGCAAAACCTTTAATCAGCGCTCAAACCTCTCTCGACATCAGATAATCCATACAAGAGAGAAAGCATATACATGTGATGTCTGTGGCAAGGTCTTTAGTCGAAAATCAATCCTGGGTAGTCATCAGACAATGCATTTTGGAGAGAAATCTTACAGATGTAATGAATGTGGCAAAGCCTTTAGGAAGCGCTCAAGCCTTACTCAACATAAGAGAATCCACAGTGGAGAGAAACCTTACCTATGTATTGAGTGTGGAAAGGCCTTTAGGAAGCGTTCAAACCTTACTCAGCATAAGATAACCCATACTGGAGAGAAACCTTACAAATGTCATGAGTGCGGCAAAGCATTTAGTGTGCATTCAGCCCTAAGGAACCATCAGATAATCCATACAGGAGAGAAACCATATAAATGTGATGTCTGTGGCAAGGTCTTTAGTCGAAATTCAATCCTTGCAAGTCATCAGAGGCTGCATACTGGGGAGAAACCTTACAAATGTAGTGAATGTGGTAGGTCATTTATTCAGCGTTCACTCCTTTGGATTCATGAGAAAATTCACACTGGTGAGAAACCTTACAAGTGTAATGAATGTGGCAAAGCCTTTCCTGTGCGGTCAATCCTTACTCAACATATGAGAATCCATACTGGAGAGAAACCTTATCTGTGTATTGAGTGTGGCAAAGCCTTCACAAAACATTCAAATCTTAATCAACATAAGACAATCCATACTGGAGAGAAACCTTACAAATGCGATGAGTGTGGCAAAGCTTTCACCCAAGTTTCAAGTCTTAGTAGGCATCAGAGAAGGCATACTGGAAAGAACCCAAATAAATGTAATGTGTGTCTCAAGGCTTTTATCCACCATTCACAGCTTTGTGATCATGAGAGAACCCATACCGGAGAGAAACCTTACAAATGTGACATGTGCTGCAAGGCCCTTCCCCAGCATTCACAACCTTGGGGTCATGAGAGGACTCATACTGGAGAGGAACTTTTCAAATGTAATGTGTGTGGCAAGGCTTTTATCCAACATTCAAGCCTTATGGCACATCAGAGAATTCATACAGGAGAAAGACCTTACAAATGTAATAAATGTGATAAAGCTTTTATCCAGAATTCACAGCTTTGGCATCATGAGAGAACACACACGGGAGAGAAGTCTCATGAATGTAATGAGTGTGGCAAAGCGTTTACAGATCGTTCCCATCTTAATCGACATAGGATAATTCACACAGGTGAGAAACCTTACAAATGTCTTGAGTGTGGCAGAGCTTTTACCCAATTTGCAAACCTTGCTAGACATCAGAAAATACATACTGAAAAGAAGCATTATAAACCTGACATATGTGGCAATGCTTTTATTAAAAGCTGAAGCTTTGGGGATCATCAGAGAATTCATGGTAGGAAGAAGCCTTACAAATACAGTGACTGAGATAAAACTTAGGTAAGTGTTGAAGCCTTAAAGTTAGAGACCCCATCAAGGAGAGAAATTCACATAAAACGTACAGATGTGGCAAAGTCTTTACCCAGGCCCCACGCTCATTCGGTGTCAGAATAGACATCTTTTGAGAGGAACCACACAACTGTAATGTATGGCAAAGGTTCTGCAAAGTTTAAGCCTTGTGGAACATAACAGAATTCTTACTAGAGAGAAACCATACAAAAGTAATGACTGATCAGCTTTATCAAAGATATATACCTCTGTGGTCGTGAAAGAATTCATATAAGGTAGAAACTTACATAAAGGTGTCAAGACCTTTAAGCAGCGACCTCGGGATATACCACACAGAATTCATACTGGACAGAAACATGACAAATGTCATGAAGGTGGTAAACTGTCCAACCACTGCTCTCAATGGACTACACATAAGAAAATTT